CTCCTTTGGGTAGAATTGGCAGTTGTTTACAGTCTCGTAACATATGTACGATGTAAGTATGAACGCTGAACTTACAAAGGTAGACGTTAAAAATGAAATCAGAGAGCCAATGTACATTGATTGACAAGCTGAGAGGAGAACGGATGGTCTGAGTCGCTTCCAAGCCATTGCTTCATCTCCCTCTATTTGACTGTCTGGTACTTCTGGGTGCTCTACGGAAGAGGCGTCGATAAGCCTCGCACGGACAGCGCTGGAAGGTAGATAGTCCTGAGCCGTGGCCTTTCTGTAGCTGTATTGTTGATAAATGACCTCGTCGACAGGATGGTGAAACCACTCGCGTCCATTGTTCAGTAAAGGATCAAAAACCCGCGCCGTTATCTCAGGTTCCTCTGGGTTGTAATACTCTGTTACACCTCGTGTAAAACTGTACACGATATGGCCAAAAGCCTCAGCTATGAGTGTAACGCTAGACATTTGAGATATGCTCAAAAAGGAGGTTTAAAATCCTTGTACTGCGATGGGTGACTGTTATATTGACATTAGTATAAATTTGGAAACTGAAATATTCTTCCAAGTTATCTTTCAGTTCCAGTTTCGTTAATCATGCATAGCGCTGTTATTATAGTATTTATCATCGGGTTCGAGACGATCTGCTGTGGTATCAGGTTTGATACTGTTTTACGTCAGAAGGAAGTTACTGCGTATTAGGCGGATATTTATCCACAATTTTACGATAGGTGAAGACCAGTTCAGAATAAAGATCTCAAACATGTATGTTGTGCTTGGATGTTTGAGGGTTTTTAGGTTCGAAACCTTGCAGGAGGGTCATATTTTTTCTTTGTTCCACGCTCCTAATAAATGAATAACAGTCATTTACATGTTTCCACATTATTCAAATCAAACACCGGATGCCTTTCAGCTGACTATAAGGGCGTGGTAGACATTCTAAATCCTTTTACATGTTCCCACATTATCACCATGTTTAGTCAGGTCGTTTCGGTCCGTTGTGTTTCAAGGTTAATTTCCCTTTATCCACTGGTAGTTGATAATCAAATTAGTGTTTCACTTGACCACCAATGGAGCATAACAACTTGTTCTTCGTTATTATCTTGTTTGGTTTGACTCAGAACCTTGCTCTGACCCGAATGGATTCGAAACCGTAATATCCACAAAGAACGCAACAGGTTACGAAAGGAAAGGGACACCTAATTTAAGAGTAATAAAATTCCACCTTTCTGATTATTGTCTGTCGAACACTTTGAACAGCGCCATGAGTAGCAGGACACTGAATGAGGTCTTTGATCATAATATGTTCAGTTTTACGCGAGGCGCGACAGAGAATAACAACCCAAAATGAACTACATTTACGGCGTAGTCTTTTGGCTTCGATCCTCTACAAAGTACGGGTCGCGAATGGATCTAACAACCTTTTGATGAAAGTTATTTATCAAGAATGTAGCGTTACAAAAGTCAAAGTAGTGAGATAACCCAAAACGAACAGACGATAGCCCTAGACGAACAGTTATCCGAATTTGCTATGAAGGCAACGGTACCATGAAACTTAGCTTACGCCCGTTAGATATTATCGAGGACCATGGCTGGAAGAACTGTGCCTCCTCCACAAGGAAGACCATGAACCAGAAGATACAAACGAAGGAATTCACTGAGGAAAAAAAGGTAATGAAAAAAAACGACGAAAGGAAAAAAAAATGATAATTTCAATGTCGTATTTCAATGTATGTCATTTCATTTTATTTGGTTAACAATTATTATTCAACTAGACCCTGTGAGCAGGGTAACTGGGATACCTGGATGGAACTGAATCCTTGACATCAAGGGTAGTGATACTACGGGTGTTGGACTAGTATACTGAAATAGTGAGCTCAAGTCTGGCCAAGGGCATACACCTATTTCAAAAAAGGTTGTCACCAGGCGATAGGTGAGAAGTCATTCCAAGACGGAAAGGAATCATGGGTATACAACTCAGTAAATAGTTCTCGCTGAGTGTTGTACATTTGTTTTTTTTAACTGCATGGATCACAGTTTTTCTGTATAGTATTCTGTTACAAACAGAGCAAATATGATATAAACCTTCCCTAATCTTACTTTGAAAAGCTATGATCCTATGATCTAGATCATGTTGAACTGAGAAGTTTGAATTATGGTGACTGGACAGCTACGATGAGGTTCATAAAATGATAAATTAGCAATTCTCTTAATTAAAATAAGGAGAATTGTGTCAACACTTTACTCGAGAATTGATGGAGGCTGACATTGCAGCCCACAAGTCATTAAACAGTTAAAAACTCTTGACACTAGTGTGTTCGGTTTCCTGTCTTTGCAATTTCTTTCTTTGTGTTTCTGGTCGAATACTGATGGTGTTTAGTAATGAGATCGTTAACTTCTGTTGCTCAAAGTTATCATAATTTTTCTGGTGCCTTGTGTCCATTTTGTAAAACATAATAACGGTATAACCATTGAAAATTTCTTATACTGCAGTTTTCCACTAAGGAGTCGAATAACTTCAGTTACTTTCGCGTGCGACACTTTTTATACTGCATGGGTAGCCTGATAAATG